CCAACTGAATAATACAAACTTCGTAGAGACGAGTCACAGAGTGTTGAAGATGTATAATCTTAATCGTAAAACACCCGTGCTCAGATCGGTTTTTAGTGTGCTGCTCCGGACTGGATATTGGATGGAAGCAAGATTACAGAAATATTCAACGGATTGTCGTAAGAAAGCGGACATTGGTCGACTTCAGGAATGGCTAACACCAGCTGCTTGTCAACTACTGAAGCGACACCTGCGCATTCCTATTACGCAGTCTGTATTGTCAGAAGAATCATTCACGGCAACGGACGCCACGGGAACGTACTGTGTACATGTCGATACTAGTCGTTGTTCCTGTTCATTCTTCATTGAAAACGGTTTACCATGCCGTCATATATTGGTTTACTACGCACAAAGTAATACTGATGTGAACGTACAGTCGATTTGTGACCGGTGGTTACACTGCGATGCTTATTTGACTTATATCGCAGTTGATATTTATATCCCAGTGCAATTGAGTCAGCCGAACTTGAGTAATGAAGTTAGAGATATAGTCAGGCGAATGTCTGACGAACAAATCACTTCACTTTATCGCTTCCTAGTTCACGGTGGACTATCAACAACACCGTTTGATTTGTTCGCCCAGCCAACAACGTCGACTCACGTTACACAACCGTTTATGCAAGGAAGACCTGTTGATTTGGATGATACACTCAGTCAACCTGAGGAGGAAATATATAGTATTAACTCTGAATAGTTAACTGAACGGGACATCCAAAGTGAAGAAGAGGATGAGGAGGATAGACTATGCGATATCTTTAATCTTGCACAGCCGCCTTATGAAACAATAATAGTAATAATGAAAATAATAATAGTGCTAATATATATACCTGACCTAATTGTGTCACCAAAGAATTGTCAATCAACAACTGTCTCAAACTTGACTGTTCCTTCTGCAAATGTCAATCCATCGTCTCACATTTCATTGTCCCTACAATTCCATACCAACTGCTTTCGGTATCGTTCGTTCCTATTGGATTTTCTCAACCATCTTCTGCTAGACATTCCATTCCTGACTATCGTTATCTACTACCGATGTCGAAATAAGTAGCACACATCACATCACATCACACCACACGACACCACAACTTAATTTTATTCATTATTATAGGGTCGTTTATTCAACATTAATTATCATGGAGATAATTGGTGTTTCTCGTTGTGAATATGTTTACCGTGTTAAGTGTAAATGTCTGTTATTGAGAATACAAGTGGAATACAATATGAGTGATTAATACTAGTGTAGAACTTATTTATCTGAATCATCAGCTAATCTAATTGGTCTTGTCTACAAGTTTGTAGATGAGACCATAATTTATGGAAAAAGTAATCAAATATAGGATAACAGGTCTTGGATTTTGGCACGAAATTCGTCTATCCATTTGGCCAAATAGAGTCTTGGCATTATAGCTGATGTCAGTTCGTGATGAAAACCCAAAATCTAATTGCTCACTGTAATAATCAACTGAAAATCATAATTGTAATTCCCTATTCTAGTTTATAACCTTCATTTTGGTCCTAGTTATTAGGTGGACACTTAATGTCACCTATAAGTCATAATAAATGTTGTCCATTAATTGTTCTCACCATTTTGTTTCCATCATTTTCATCATTTTACATTTTCTAGCTTAATTCGTAGAGATTAATAGTTCAATGAATCTACATTCGTGAAGTCGACTTCCTACATCAGACATTGCAAAATGCATCTACGAAGTTTTGATATCACATAAAGAATGAATATTAAAACTATCATGAACGTATGTATTCAACTGCCTATATGTGTATTCAGCACTGTAAATTTACTTGCTCGGAGACATCTGAATAAGTTACTTTTGTCTTATAACTTCTTCCATTATATGTTTAGTTTATTTAAATTTAAAGAGAACAGTTAATCATAAGTAAAATCACTAGAATTGTCACAAGGAGAATGTTGATTTGTAAATACACATGCACTAATCCTATGATTCTGTCAACGTAAAAAGTTAGTCGACTATATTAGTGGCCCGTGATCTGACTCCAATTTAATTGTAATGATTGGTTGCTATCGTCTATCCTCGTATATAATCATTGACTTAAATCGCGTTAGTTAATAACGGAATTAAATAAGTCAAATAACGAAAATGGAGTTTTGAATGCATATATTTCGTATAATTGTTGATTAGACAAACGAACGGAGGAACGATGCGAAGATTAGAAAGCGAAGCTAAGTTGGCGCGTGGTGGAGATGGCTGGTAAGCCAACTCCCCGTTTAACAAAGAGTTAATCAATATTTATAAGCTCACAAAAATAAATTACAGACATGTGATAAGTAACAGGATAAGAAGTGTACATACGCCTACGCGCTCATACAAAGACAGTCAAGATATTGATAAGCGAATAATTAACAAGGTCAGAATGTGACTCAAGTAGAATGAATAGATTACGATGTCCGAAAGCCGAGAAGAAGGTATTTGGGCTTAACATAATGACAGACACTACACTATCTTTTATCTGCATTTTCAATGATACTTTTGTAAACTATTGTGGATTATTAGTTAAGGCTTTCAACTTCCAACCAGTAACTCCTAGTCTTTTTATGCGGAAATGGATGGTGCCTAACATTGGAATTAGGTACGCACATTTCACTATATATGTGAGTCCTCAGCTGTGAGTACATGGATTACGAAATTCATGTTCAATCCTGGATGACAATTCAATATTGTTCGCTTCGATCGTCATTGTATTAACCACCTAAACTACTCAGACCAGTTATCCACTAGTTGGTGAAACATTTATGTCTACCTAAAATACCTGTAACACATTGGTGATTCTGAAACAAGCCAAATAGGATGCACATGTAATATCTTTCATACATCTGGGTTGGATAACAGTTCATTTTGTCAAGCCGTTTAACTAATTTAACTGACAATCTTAGTAGTAGAATAGTAAGTTTTTATAACTTGTCATTATTATCGTAAATATGATGAGCATGTATGTTTGATCACATGTGACAGCCTACTCACAAATACCTCTCTCCAAGCTAAATGTTAATTGCTTGAATCACTCGATTAAAATATGCACATATATCCTTGGATCACATTAGTTCATTCGAATTTGTATACGTGTGGTCACTATCTCACTTAATGTCGGTTGGACCACACTTGCCACTCAATGGCCGTGTGTGGGCATGGCGAATAAGATGCACATAAAGTACGTCTCGTAATATACATCAGTTTGTTTAGGGTTAATTTTGTCAAGCCCTTTAACTGAACTAACTACTTAGTTAACAGACAGTCTTTGTGGTAGTAGAACAGTGACAAATTGTATATCTAGTCCTTATTACCATACCCATCATGATGAGCGAATAAGCTTGATCGCATATGACAGCCTACGCATAACTAGTCTCCCAGTTCGTTTATTTGATGCTTGAATCACTGGATTAATATATAAGCTTGGCTCGTATAATTATTATTTCAGTGAATTTTGTATTGGTGTGGTTAGTTGCTCTGTTAATTGTTTGCACTGGCATTTCTTCTCGAATTGGCTTTGTGTGCTGCAATTGTGGCTTAGTGATTTACTTGGTAGAATGAATAAACAGTTGTCAACATTTGATACTGTCTGCTGAAATTCATAGACTTTTTGGAGTTACCTCATATCGGATAATGAGAACGAGTGATAGACGAAGCCTAATGAATTGCCGCATAGCCGAGCCATCACAAGGTGAAACGTGAGTTTGTTTTGTTCAGATAAATTGAAGTTGTTATGATGAATAGCACTGTTTCTGTGTAACTTAGATGTTTGTCAGTGTATTTTCTATTTGTCATTTGAATAAAAGTATTAATATTTATTGAATAATTTTTGTGGTGTGAGACCACTCGGTAATCTGTAGTTATTGGGGATGGAAGTTTTCTACTTACATTCCGAGATCCCTTTCGATACTACCCTCTCTATTCTCGGACTGCATGTGCTAGCCTATGTATAGGTGAGTAGGCAGAGATAACTGGAGTTGACTAGAGTAGGTCGATCATGTGAGTTAGTTTCTGTGAATAACACTTTTTTGCATATATGTGATTGTGAAGTGACGAGAAGGAGTATCAATGATGATGTTGATAGACAAGTAAGCTAATTTGATTCAAAATGCGATGAAATCGAGTATTTCACTGTTTTAGTCATATATATCATTATACTTGCACGAACCATAAACCACTTATAAATGCCGTATAGCATTAAACATGATTTCCCTTGATGTGATGAGAAGGATTACATCATCCGTAAATCAACAGACTGGTATAGAATTTTGCATACAATGAAGATGATCATCATTGCCTGTAATACTTGTGATTGTGTTTTGTTAATTTGATTGCATCCATACTGTCACATAATTGAGTTTGTTTTGAAAAGAATGCTGTGACTCAACATTGACTGAGTTAGTAGTTTCATCTCGGTCATTATTGTTCATGTGGATGTTGATGGGTGATTGATTTCAGTGATTTATGCACTCATGATCTACGGACTGGCCTAAATTCCCCATTGACAACCAAATGGTAATTATATATGAATAATAGTTTATTATGAGTGAAATACACATTTCCATATGTTTGGATAGTTTATATTACTGTGAATAAGATCCGAGTATAGTATTAAGACTGATGCAATTACAGGTTAATGAGTAGTGTGTTGTTAGGATTGTGAGAGACGTGGAGACAATTTCAATTTGAAACTGTTGTATCTAATGAGGAAATGTTTTCAATTGGATGATTTGTGAGTGTGTAAATCATAAGGTTTGATATTTACCTAGTGTTAACTAAGATCCATTGAATGTAATTGTTCGGAGGTTGTTTACAACTGATTCGATATAATTGATAGCACAAAATGTGTGTGCATTTGTTTGTGGTAGGTGGTTACTTTGATAACATGTAAATCAATGATTGTCTTTTATTTTGATGTACATATATGTTGATGAAATGGCTATCCGGTTTTCAGGGTCGTGGTATGGTTGATTGTTTTCTCACTGTTGTAGTTGTTGCTCATACTCTTACTGAAGTATGGAATAAACGTTTAATTTGAGTTAATCATTGCATCATAGCATATATGTGGGAATGAGTCGTCCTGTCACTGGTGCAAAGTCACCCATCCTCTTGTACATGAGATTTCGTTTCTGGTCGTTATTGAATATCTGGATAGACGATGGATGTAGCATTGTGAAGTTGTTCTGGTAGGTTGTTCTGTATTGTATCTACTGTATATGTGTTTTTAATGGTAGTATAGCAGCTTAGATCAAATCGACTTGTGAATTCGGATATGAAAATACTAAAATCTCTACAAATTTTCATACTGATTAAGTAACTATTTAAGTAATGTTAGTCAAATTTCAAATCATCATTGAGGTTATATAATTTAACAAATACACGATGTTTATTTGATGTTGTTTACTTGTATCCTCTCATGGTAATTTAGAACTGCAACTGATCAGTCTCTTGTTGGCATATGTGCATCCTATGCGAACTGCCTCGATATCTCCTGAAGTCACAAGCTTTATAAGTAAAAATGAATAGTGGTTATGAGTGGAATCCATTTTGACACAAGTATTTCATCCTATTCGGAACTCGTCAGCTGGATGTACTTGCATCTCAGAGTTGATGTTCACTCTGGGACTCAAACCCAGTACCATTCGCTTCAAATGTCATCGTGTTATCCATTTACGTACTGACAGAACGAAACGGGCCCCTCCGATTCCAGTACTAGCCACTATCCATCTTTGCTTGCCCCCAAATGCCCTGGTACGGCCGAGAGTGGGGAGAGTCCGCTCACCCTCTCGAAATGCTCTCACATGGCCTGCGTATATAGCCTCTGCCAGGGAAGTCCTACTCACTGCCTTCTCGTGGCTGGGGTGTTGTTTACGAAAATGAGAGGACGAAAAGCGAATGATTGGCGCTTTAACCGGACCCCAAACCAATGGTGCTCATGGGTTCCAGTATCCTGCGGGAACAAATGGCGTATGAACCAATCGTTGGTCACCGGCTACCATGGGACTGCATCTCCTTACGGTGCTCCACTGCCTTGTGGATCAGACGTTCAGGTCAAAGGCTCGGGGTGTGGCCCACTAAGAAAACCACCTGCTTCGGTTTGGGCACCCGTGCAGTATCACAGCCCTCACATAAATCAATTGAGATTTGTGTGGCGCATATGTATTTGGTGCCTCCCTGTACCTATACTCATGTGTTAAAATAAATATAATAATATAAATATATCCATCTTTGCTTATCAATTCACAATCTATTTGTAGACATGCTACTTGATACCCATATATGTATATATGATTGTAGAGCTTTGAAAATGATAAACAAGTTTACAATCGATCTTACATAAAAGTTTATTTGACAAGATTATTACTTGGATACATAAAATGTGACTTATTCATTTTGATAACAATGATCATTATCGAAGTTAACTCATACAATCAACTTGACAATAAAACACATGGTTTTGCATGTAAGATGAAACCAACACACATTACATAATAGTTTTATGAGAATATTTGAGTATACATTGAGAGACAGATTAGAAATTCTTGACAAGTAATACATTTAGTGGGTATCCTTTCTCTAAGCTAACAGTATTTACACTGGATTTATTGATTTTGTCTTTTTATTTTCGGTTGATAAGTGGGTAGATGAATATTTTCCGGTAAAGAAAACATACAACGAAATAATTCATGCTTATCAATAAAAAGATAATATTAGTCAGACTTATTTGCATTCACCTGCAAGAAGTGAATTACAACCACTATGATGTGTACTACTGAGATCGACAATTATATATAAGTAGTATGTATCACCAATCGGATATGGAATGCCTGGAGGCAGAAGGTTAAGAAAATCCAACAGCAGAGATTGAGATCGAGAACGGAGAATGATCAGTGTTGGAATGAAGGAACAATCAATTCTGTGATGATTGATTGACATTTTGTAAATGAAATATATTCATCACTGGGTGATGAAACATTTTTTCCTGTATGTCAGATCCTTCTTCGTGTAGATCGAATCACATCGACCAAGTTGCTTACTTTATGTAAATAGATTAGTGGATGAATGAATAGTTATATTAAGATTAAACATAGAAAGAAAACACGGAATGTTTCTCTAAACGTTTGGCTGATCAGTTAAGAAATTAATGCTTATTGTTTTACAATTAATCCTGGTGGGTGACCTATACTCCTCCACGAGGTGTAATTGGTGTTAGTAATGGATCCTACTAAAGTACATTGCAATCAATTATTATGTTGCTTTCAATCCATGAAGTTGACTTCACTGGGATTTTTATATCTAATAATAATAATGATAATAATAATGATAGTATTAATGAAAATAATAATTGTGCTAATATATATACCTGACCTAATTGTGTCACCGAAGAATTGTCAATCAACAACTGTCTCAAACCTGACTGTTCCTTCTACAAATGTCAATCCATCGTCTCAGACTTCATTGTCCCTACAATTCCATACCAGTTGCTTTCGGTTCTCGTTCGTTCCTCTTGGATCTTCTCAACCTTCTGCTGCTAGACATTCCATTCCTGACTATCGTTATCTACTACCGATGTCGAAATATGTAGCACACATCACATCACATCACATCACATCACATCACATCACATCACATCACAACACACCACATCAGAACACAACACAACACATCACAATTTAATTTTATTCATTATTATAGGGTCGTTTATTCAACATTAATTATCATGGAGATAATTCGTGTTTCTCGTTGTGAATATGTTTACCGTGTTAAGTGTAAATGTCTGTTATTGAGAATACAAGCGGAATACAATATGAGTGATTAATACTAGTGAAGAACTCATTTGTATGAATCATCAGTTAAGCTTAATGCTCTTATGTAAAATTTTGTCGGTTGGACCACACTTGCCACTCAATGGCCGTGTGTGGGCATGCCGAATAGAATGCGCATAAAGTACGTCTCGTAATATACATCAGTTTGTTTAGGGTTAATTTTGTCAAGCCTTTCAACTAAACTAACTTCTTATTTAACAGACAGTGTTTGTGGTAGTAGAACGGTGACAAATTGTATTTCTAGTCATTATAAGCTTGATCGCATATGACAGCCTACGCATAACTAGTCTCCCAGTTCGTTTATTTGATGCTTGAATCACTCGATTAATATATAAGCTTGGCTCGTATAATTATTATTTCAGTGTATTTTATATTCGTGTGGTTACTTGCTCTCTTAATTGTTCTCACTGGCATTTCTTCTCGAATTGGCTTTGTGTGCTGCTATTGTGGCTGAGTGATTTACTTCGTAGAATGAATAAACAGTCGTCAACATTTGGTACTGCTGCTGAAATCCATAGACTGTTTGAACTTACCTAATATCGGTTAATGAGAACGAGTGATAGACGAAGCCTAATGAATAACCTCGTAGCCGAGCCATCACAAGGTGAAACGTGAGTTTCTTGTGTTCAGATAGATTGAAGTTGTTATGATGAATAGCATTGTTTCTGTGTAACTTAGATGTTTGTCAGTGTATTTTCTATTTGTCATTTGAATGACCGTTTTAATGTCTATTGAATAATTTTTGTGGTGTGAGACCACTCGGTAATCTGTAGTTATTGGAGATGGAAGTTTTCTACTTATATTCCGAGATCCCTTCCGATACCACCCTCTCTATTCTGGGACTGCATGTGCTACCCTGTGTATGGGTGAGTAGGCAGAGATAACTGAAGTTGACTAGAGTAGGTCTATCATCTGAGTTAGTTTCTGTGAACAACACTTTTTTGCATATATGTGATTGTCAAGTGACGAGTATGAGAATGAATGATGTTGATATACAAGTGGTCTAATTTGATTCAAAATGCGACCAAATCGAGTATTTCACTGTTTTAGTCATATATGTCACTATACTTGCACGAACCATAAACCACTTATAAATGCCGTATAGCTTTAAACATCATTTCCCTTGATGTGATGAGAAGGATAACATCATCCGTAAATCAACAGACTGGTATAGAATTTTGCATACATTGAAGATGATCATCATTGCCTGCAATACTTGTGGTTGTGTTTTGTTAATTTGATTGCATACATACTGTTACATAATTGAGTTCGTATTGAAAAGAATGCTGTGACTCAACATTGACTGAGTTAGTAGTTTCATCTTGATCATTATTGTTCATGTGGAGGTTGATGGGTGATTGATTTTAGTGATTTATTCACTGATTATCTACGGACTGCCCTAAATTGCGCTTTGTCAACCAAATGATAATTATATATGAATAATAGTTTATTATGAGTGAAATACACATTTCCATATGTTTGGATAGTTTATATTACTGTGAATAAGATCCGAGTATAGTATTAAGACTCATGCAATTACAGGTTAATGAGTAGTGTGTTGTTAGGATTGTGAGAGACGTGGAGACACTTTCAATTTGAAACTGTTGTATCTAATGAGGAAATGATTTGTGAATGAATGATTTGTGAGTGTGTAAATTATAAGGTTTGATATCTACCTAGTGTTAACTAACATCCATTGAATGTAATTGTTCGGAGGTCGTTTACAACTGATTCGATATAATTGATAGCACAAAATGTGTGTGCATTTGTTTGTGGTAGGTGGTTACTTTGATAACATGTAAATCAATGATTGTCTTTTAATTTGATGTGCATATATGTTGATGAAATGGCTATCCGGTTTTCAGGGTTGTGGTATGGTTGATTGTTTTCTCACTGTTGTAGTTGTTGCTCATACCCTTACTGAACTATGGAATAAACGTTTAATTTGAGTTAATCATTGCATCATAGCATATATGTGGAGAAGAGTCGTCCTGTCACTGATGCAAAGTCACCCATCCTCTTGTACATGAGATTTCGTTTCTGGTCGTTATTGAATATCTGGATAGACGATTGATGTAGCATTGAGAAGTTGTTTTGGTAGGTTGTTCTGTATTGTATCTACTATATATTTGTAACATACACTTTATAAATCATTTCAAATAGACATGAATGAGTATTCTCCACCTCAGATAGTAAATGTTGGAATTATTTAGTACTAGTGGTTGATTACAAATTGTAGAATGACTGTTTATTATCGAAGCCTGACTATTTACTCGATGATGTGTTCAGTTTTGACTTATTGGTAGGTTTGTTGAAATAGTTGGTGAATGGTTATTAATTATCAGGGATTAGGTTAAATGTGAATGGTGAGTGTGTGAGGTAAAGAATTGCATAACGAAGTGTTTGAAGTTGATATTGTTGGTGAATATGTATGGATGGTGTGTGTGTGTGGGGGGGGGGGTAATGTGTCAGTCAGTAATGCCGTAGTTGGAGTACTGTTCTACAACTACTGTTTGCTCCAGTTTCCTGTGATGTTACAAAACAAGGACTGTTTGTGCCAATTGTTACATTCAAATGTCCGCCCCTACAAGCAAGCATTGATGCATCTCTATTACCATATCACTGATGTATATTGATGCCATATTCTAACGTAGTTCACATGTCCGATCAATGCTGATTTGATTGTTCCACATTGTCCGTAGAAACTCAGATGTATGTTACAGGTGTTGCAATGTATTTAGCACTTGTGAAACAGGTTCGTGAATTCCGTTCTTCGAGATTGGCTCAGTCGATGCTCAATATTAATTGATAAACTCTTAAGGAAGGCGTGTGAGCGAGGTGAGTGATTTGTAATAGACATGGAGTTTCTAATCCCTGAGAGTGTGCGTGTGAGAGAGAGAGTGAGAGTAATACTGGTATATGAAACTTTAGCAAACTTTCCAAATACAGAGGTTGTTGGAAGAGCATGTACCGAAAGATTTAGAAACTGGTGAATGTTGTGGTGACTGATTTATACTTCAGTCTCGAGAGGAGAGATATTGCTAGTGGTTTTCAAAATCACTGAACGAGCTATGTCACATTGTGGTGTAAACGTAAGTTTATTTGACTTTAACTATTACCAACTAATGTATGTTTATAGTGAATTTGAAATTGTAGTGATGGTGAACCATTAGAATATCGATTTAGAATTATTTTTGTTTATTTCACAAGTTATCCGATAGTTAGTGACATGCTTACCGTCTTTGTAAAATATCCGTAATAGATATAGATTGTTTGAATCTTCCGATTGACGTTTCGGACTGGAATCGATTAGTCTGTTATTGGCATATGTGCATCTTGAGCGGATTGCCTGGATATTGCAAGTGACAAGTATTATAAGCAGTGATGAATGGTGGTGGTGGTGGTGGTGGTGGTGGTGTTGGTGTTGCTGGCTAGCAGTAAAATACAGGACGTCCGTCAGACTAATCTATTAGGTGAAAATATCTGGACTTCCAAAGAATGTTTCATACAAGTTAGACTAAGCGATGAAGAGATCAGGAAGTGTCGCGTAAAATTAAAAAGAAAATGAAGTATTGAGGGTGGAGTATAATTGGAGGGTTCTGTACGAGAAGTGAACTCAACCGTGTAAAAAAACAATAAGTCATGATCAGTTATATGTTTGTTAATAACGAAAACTACTGAATATTAAAAAGTAGTAGTATGGTGTGGCGTACGAGAAAAGTATTCACCGAAGTAATGCAATTGAATTGGTAAGTATATCATTAAAAAGAAAATGAAGTATTGAAAGTGGAGTATAATTGGACGGATATATATTTCGACAGCGATCATTCGATAACGAGCATTCGTCTGATCTAACTCGAGTCAGATGTAGGGTCACTTAAACCTCATAACTATTTACTATTTATAGTGCCGAGAAATGTGTTTCTAAACAATCTAATATGTGATCGTGTTTATGTTAGACTTACTGAACACGTTACACGGTTTCGTGTGTCACGCTAAATGTTTACGTGATCGGTTTTCTGATTGCATTGGTTTTTAAGGGTAATAATTTTTTATGTGATAGTGTGGCGAGAGAAGAATCTAGTCTGTCTGTAAATTACTTGACCAGTATGATATTGATTAATTTAACAGTTGAATTGACGACTTGATATGAACTAGACGAGGATGTGCTGAGTTGGATTTCCTAGACCGTGATGAAGGATGCGCGTTGCTGATGTGTTCCACACTAGGATGAAACGGCTGTCCAGTGCTTCAGTTGTGATTTTCAGTGGTGGTGTTCTAGCTTAGATTGACTCCTGAATTCAACTATTAAACTACTACAATCTTCACAGTTCGTCTTATTGATGATGCTAATGATGATAAATTGATATTAAATACTACTGCAAGTGTGATTGTCAACTTGACTGTACACAAATCATAGAAAACGTTGTGTATGCATATAACATTTTGATTAATATTGAGGGTTGAGTAAATCCTTCTCACCAGTGTTTTTCCATTACGCGTCGTCGTATTTACGGTTTTTCAGTACAAAGTGCAAGTGAATTAAGCCTAGCCGTAGACATAACAGTGACAGATGTAATAATTTGCATGTTGAATTCTTTTAATTACTGAACTAATCAATGTTATCATACTGTAATGAGTATTCAACCTTTTGAAAATTCCTCAGGAGGTTTTCACTGTCAGTGGTGTTGGTTGTAATGTGCGTCTACAGGAAATGATGAAGTTGATGACAGAAGAGTGTTATGCGAAATGATTGGCAATTGGTTGGCGTTTTCTGCATTGATAATGATGCTACGATGGTACATACTGGATGCTTAATGTTTGATGCCGGTTTAACTTTATGTCTGGGAAGTTCTGTGGTCTCTCAACGCTATTGTACAGATGTTGTTGATGCAGTTTGACGTGACGAATCATAACATCTCCATATGTATATGTTTTTAAATATATTGTTATTCTGATGATTCAATATTTTTTTATTTGAACTCTGCTTAATTGTTTCTACTGTCGCTAGATTGATAGATAGATAGGTAGGTAGGTATGTAGTTAGGTTAGGAAGTATAGAGGGAGATAGATTGATAGATCATTAATTGTCTCTCGAGTCAAATTCATCTTTCTATCGATACAGTTTGATTGTGGTTGCTCCTTGAGTGTTGATTGGATTTGGTTTATTGAGTAAGTGAGCTGCGATTGATTTTAGTGACAAATTGTTTCATATCTAGTCTAGTAAAAGTAACCAATCCCATAGATAGAATAGTGGTTGGAGTTATCTAAGGAAGATAAGGTAGTTTAGGCAAAATAAAAGATGAGCAGATATGTGGGATTCGTTTGTCAATTTTTATAAAATTTCTATTGACCTAGTTATTTACTGATGATTTGTATTATGGGTATTAGGTTCTCCACATCATATCTAGATGCGAATGTTTCTCTCTATTCTTACGTTTTTGTTATTGTTTTTAAAGATTCGAATACTTGTATCATCTTGTTTTATGTTTTAGAACAGATGGGTATCCGAGGTTTGAGCACGTACATTGAACGTTGCTTTGGAAACCTATGCTATTATGAATTGCATAACGAGCCTTTAGTTATTGATGCCGAGAACTTTGCCGCTGTCTGTTATCGTCAAGCAGCTTTGCGATGTGAATTTGGTGGGGAGTATTTGGCTTTTAAGAGTTATGTCCAGTTATACTTAAAAGAGTTTAGTTTGTGTCGTGTGGACCCGATTTTTGTTTTCGATGGATGTCATCCGAAAGAGGTATGGTATGCTTACATTATCATAGTAATTTGTTTTTCTAACTAACTGCCTACATATTTTCCATTTCACTTAAATCTTAAGACATTTGTGTGGTATACATCTTATTACTATTGTAGATCATATCCTAATTGATTGTAGCGATCGGTGCATCTTAGAGTTTATAATTGCATACGTTATATGGGTAATAGATTTCATACACATAGTTCCCTTTATCATTTTGAAAAGAGGAAGAACTGAAAGATTCTAGGAGAATGACCTGGATTGATTTTATTTGGTCTGGTTCTCGTCAGCTGTTTGCAAGCAGTGCTATCTAGAAATCATGATTACATAATGGATTTAAATTAGTTACATGAGATGGTGTGGATGGAAGTTATATTGTGAAGACACATTAGTAGTATAGTATGGCAAGGGTGTAAACAAATTGAATAGACTGAATATTGTAAATGTACACCTTATGTGAAAGAACATTCTACAAAATACTGATTGTGACAACAGTTGAAAGAGCCAGAAACAAGTGATGACATAATGAGTAAATGCTGATAGGAATAAAGTGAGTAGAGCTCAGTTGGTAAGAATAAGACTACTAGTTTGGACGATAGTTGGAATTCAACTGAATGATGTAATAAATGCAAGAAGGAGTTAAACGCCTGATAGCAAGGGCTCTAGCAAACTTGAGGAGACTGGAGTTTGACTGTTTACTAATCACCTTGAAGGATCTATTTATTTTATTTATTTTAACACATAGATATCGGTACAAGGAGGCACCGAATACATATGCGCCACACAAATCTCATTTGATATGTGTGAGGGCTGTGATACTGCCCGGGTACCAAAACCGAAGCAGGTGATTTTCTTAGTGGGCCACACCTCGAGCCTTCGACCTGATCGTCTGACCCACAAGGCAGTGGAGCATCGTAAGGAGATGCAGTCCCATGGTAACCGGTGACCAACGATTGGTTCATACGCCTTTTGTTCCTTCAGGATACTGCAGCCCATGTGCACCATTAGTTTGTGGTCCGGTTAAAGCGCCAATCATTCGCTTTTCGTCCTTTCATTTTCGTAAACAACACTCCCTTCACGAGAATGCAGTGAGTAGGACTTCCCTGACAGAGGCTATATACGCGTGGCCATGTGAGAGCATTTGGAGAGGGAGAGCGGACTCTCCCCACTCCCGGCCATACCAGGGCATTTGGGGGCACTTTGAAGGATTGCAAGTTATCGACCTAATGTCCTGTATCAAGGAGATGTTTGGTGATAGCACTATTCAGAATCTTTCTCTCCCTTGTTCTAAAACTTTTTGGAACATATTCAAAGAATGTAAGATATGCTCTCCTTTCTGTTTGGCCAATGTAGCTGTTTTGGAAGGTACACGTAAATCTATATACAGTTGCCAATACAGTTGCCTAATGAATTAAATCATCAGAAAGTGTGCTACAAGCGCTATCTTTTACACATGGAATATCCGCTTGACTAATGTTGCAAAATACTTTTGCAACGAGACATTAAACATTATGTCTCACATTGAGACTCGAGTTATGGCCTCTACAAATTAACATGTTTATGCAGTAAATTGTATACCTGGAAGTCTAATTCATATGAGGATAATTTGTTTATTAAGCATTCAATTTAACAAATTTCACAGTAGAATTCATGAGTCAATCTAGTCTAGACCACGATCATTGAAAAGGGTTGTTGTGTCCAAGTATGTGACTCGTCAGAAGTGCGCATACACGATCAGCCAATTATTTATTAAGTGTTACTCGAGTTTTATACGTAGTTTTACCACCACTCAGTATGTAGTGCCATCATTACCATTTCGTCTATTGATATATTTCTCAGAATGATGGTCAATTATTCACGACCGAACGTGATGAATGAAGAGAAACTTAACACCAAACATCTTGAGCCATGTGTTTTTCAAGTTTATTACATACAGTGATTCATTTTATAAATTAACTAATGAATTTTCTTCGCTTTCTTAAGGGAACAAAATTGAATACTTTGATGAAGCGGAACAAGGAGTACTTTAAACAACTCTCATCAGCCCTTCTTAATGCTAAGTCAAGTTATAGCACAGAGTTGAACATTGATATACGTCCACGACTTTGCGAAAATATTCTCGTTGAAATTCTGCGTGAATCTTCAGTGCGATACATAGCATGTGAACGTGAAGCTGATATCGGTGCAGCAGAACTTGCTGTTTATCTTCAATGTCCTGTTACTAGTAATGATTCTGATTTTTATATTTATCGACCAAATGATAATAATCAAGTCTATAATTTTATTCCATTTTCAACTATTTCACGTTATTCTAAGCAGAGATCCGTCCCTTGTTCTACTTGTAAACTGAATGGTGCTTCATGTTATTTCATGCCGTGTGCAATTCTTGATAATTCAGGACCGTTTTATAAACTGAAATATCCTATGTTACCACTTTTCGCCATCCTCGTTGGTAATGACATGATATCAGATATTCGCCTTCCAACTATCATCCATTCACTAATTCAAACCTCTGATCTATTTAACGCGTCCTACTATCAAAGACGTATCGATGCTATATTTAAGTGGCTGTTAGGTTTTCGTGACATAGAAGAACCATTGTCGTCGGTGTTGTCACTTTACAGCAAAATCGAAAGAAATGGTATTGAAAAGACGATCCGTTTGAGGATTTCGGATTATCTTCTAGATGTTTCAGGCGAAAACCTGGCTCATGAATTAGGATTTTCAACTGAACACAATATATCATCAAGTGTTTCATCGTCAAGCAAGTTGGGGAATTCGAACATTCAGGACCCCACAACTTGTAGGGGTTCTCACTGTGAATTTCTTTCCAAATTTTCTAAACCTTTATTGAAGAGAAATGATGATGATGAAGACAGTATATTTCACCGTTGGCCGAAAGAATTGATTAGGCGATTTAGATTTATTGAATTAATCCCATCCATATTTGACCAGATGTATGTACGAAATGGTGCTGTTTTACGTCTGGTAGTGGAGGACATAAATATTCCTAATTCACTTAGCGAATGTATATCCAAGATGAGAGGTATTTTAAATGGACTTATATTTGGACTTGAAAACCACTTGGGCACCAATGGAAAGTTATGTGGAATGGAGAATGAGTGTGTCACTGAGTACAGGAGAAACTTGAATGGTGATTTCACGAAGACTTTAATTTCGGTGAAGCCTCTGAAACCGCCTCGTGCTGCAACGCCTGAGTTGTCGTTCTTATCTTTTTTCTCGGAATTTTTCAATGTGAATATGGAGAAAGATTTTAAGCCTGTTGAAATACAAGGTTTGGCTATTTTATTAGTTCTATGGTTCAGATATTCGTCTCATGCTCGAAGCGAAGCTGAAAGCATTCAGACATCGCCTGTTGGACTTGCGTTGTCATGTTGTACAATCGCTATGAATTCGAATAGTGAATTTCTTTGTAGAAATGCTGATGCTGATGGAGGTTTTGCCAACTCGATTCTCACACATCTCGATAAGTGTGCTGAATTGGCCAAATCAGTTTATTGCCAAAGAAATCCACCTTTCTTTTCTATCGAGAAAGTTCACCAACTTAATGAATTGCAAATTATGGCTTCTAGATTAAAGAATCTAGTCGCAATGCTTGAGGTGCTTTGTCCATTTTATATCTCAAATAGTACTAAATTTGACACTTCACCTATTAGAAATCCTTTCATGAGGTTTTACCCACTTTGGATGTTATTTGCCAGTGGACGTCTTTTATATTGGATTAGTCAACTTCTAAAAAATATTGATCCATCTGAACGTTTCGATAAAGTCATGAATGATTGGCTTCCAAAATTGCTCATAGGAACCAATTCTGGACGTGAACAACATGATTGCGCCCAAAAAGATCTTAGCAAACTTTTCAACCTAATTGATAAATTGAACTGTTAAGAATTATTCATGGTTTCTATTATGAACGCTAGAATTTGTTGTTTTTGATAGACTGTAATTTTTAATTTGTGTAAACATACATAACACTTGGATGGTTTTATTGTCGAAACTTTTGACTTTCATGCAGTTGCACACCTATTTTCTTAATAACTAGAATCATTCATATATTTTAATATACATTTCATTAAGTTATGCTACGCCTTTATTTTTGGAAAAGTAGTAAAGATATGGAAAAACAAGAAAGATTAATTTCTAGAAAGACTTACTTCACATTCTATGAAAACTACTTCCCCATCTACTTGGATACAATATATTGTCGATCATAGTGTAACTAGGCACGTTAGCGTCAGCCTGATTGTTAACAGTCGACCTGTTGATGCATTTTGTATTCATTTAACTATATGATTTTTTCGAAGTATTTGCTAACGTTGTCTAGGTGGATGATGAATTTCTCACGACCAAACCATCCAATCAAGAGAGCACTACACCCCCGAAATCTTCATCCTGGGCTAAAAGTACTTCCCATTATATTCGTTTATGTTTGTTTCTAAGTGGATAGTCCAGAGTTATATGGATCTCGCTAGCTTAGGTAATTTACCTTGTATCGTATTTAGTTCAAGTTATGATTGATACGATAATAGGTTGCGAGTTGTCACGAGATGAAACAGAGCTCTAACTCCTTGATGTCACGAATACTCGTCTGGCTTGATATGGAGTATTCCATCACAGTTGTTTGTCCTATATCCATAATTATTCAGACGCTAGTTGAAAGGAGACCTCAGTAACAAGTAAAAAAAGAGGATAGTGCTTCTCGACAACTTATGTCTTGTACGAAGAGGGTTATATGTCCCGGTAAGCAAAATGACCGATATCTTCCTCATAGTTTCGCGAAAATGGTTGCACGCTATGCCAGTTCGCTGTCCCAGCTAAATTAATTGATACTGGGTGGGTACAACCCCCGTCGTCCGGGAAATATCATGCTAAACAATACCGGCAGTCTCCGTAGATTTGATGCTTATTATAAACTCCAAATAAGAAAACGAACGAGATCGCAGTCAAAACCTAATCGCAACTTGTACTAGGCAAGCCACTACTAAAATCTGATCGATAACACTGGCATTGCCAGGTTCATGCAGCATTATATACATAACCATTGTATATCTCGAAAACCAGACATCAAGTAGTCTGCATCTACCAACATGACCCAAACTAGTAGTGACTCCAGGACTGATGCCACGTTTTCGTTTGACTGCCTCAAAGTTTATTCCAGCCGTCTCCAACACTAGTCAGTATTGTGCGTCGTGGTAATCGGTGTTCAGGCATACGTAACACGTGGCTAAACCATTTCAGTCAATGAAGATTTACCTCATTGATTGATTCACCATCCTTCTCTAATAACCTGCCTCTAATCTCACGATTACTTACCCAGTGATCCCGTCAGGTGTTAGCAATATTCTTAGACATCTGTGATGAAATACTACTGGCTTACGAGCGTCTTCTATTCTTCACAGCCATGCTTCGCAGCCGTAAAGTAAAACAGAACGAACTGCCGCGCATTATACCCGTCCCTTTATTGATAGACGCATATTTCGTCTGCGCCATAGGTGACGTAAGTTGGCGAAAGCCAAACGAGCTCTTCGTATCCCTACTGAGATTTCGTCAGACACCAACCCATTAAGGCTGATCAGACTTCCAAGATAAGTGAAGTTGTCAACACGTTCGACTACTTCACTCCTTATCCTATCCTCAGTTCAGGTGTTGACGCAGGCCAGTCCTGAAGCAACAACTTGCATTTAGAGGGAGAGAATCGCATCCCAAACACCCTGGCATCATTGCTCAGTGCTACCAAAAGACTCTGCATTTTATCAGCGTCTTCACCAAACAGGAATATGTCATCTGCGTGTTCTAAGTCGAAAAGTGGACCTCCTGGAAGAAGATCAATACCCGAGAATTCAGTCGATGAGAGCGTTATTTCCATCAGAAAGACTATGATGAAGTTAAACGAAAATGGAGAAAGTGGACAGCCTTGACGGACACCACTTGAGGTTGCGAAAGCAGATGACAGTTCGCCATAAGCTCTCACTCGACTAGTAGTGTTCGAGTAGAGAGCCTTCACAAGATTAATGTACTTCTGAGGTACACTTTTCAGTGACAGACACTGTCACAGAATTTCGCGGTCTACGGAGTCAAGTGCTGCTTTTAAGTCGAGGAAGACCACCATCGTTGGACGCCTATAAGTATGCCTGTGTTCTAGAACCTGACGAATCGTGAATATATGGTCGATGCAGCCACGAACAGGTCTGTAGCCAGCCTGATTTTCACGTGTTTGCAATTCACGAGTCTTTGTTTGGCATTCGATAATTAATAAGGCTAGTATTTTAAACACTATATGAGTGAATCTAATTCCTCTACATATATGTGAAAACTATATTTGAAAGAATTTCAGCGATTGAAATCTAATCCCAACGTTTCGTCCAGCTATCTTGTCTGGACTTCTTCATATAGCTGGACAAGACGTTGGAATTGTTTAGATTTCTATCGCTGAGATTATTTGAAATATAATTCTCACATATGATGACTTCTCTATACTCGGCGCCCAATTTCTGTCAAACTATTTGTTCTAATCTTGACGAATATTCGTATAATCCCTCTATAGTTATCACAGGATGAAGTCCTCAGATCAATTTAAACGCCTTATTTTCGTATATGGGTTACAATCTGCAGCAGATGCAGATATCAGAACACGTATTTCAACGAGAATAGAACAAGATCCTAATATCAGTCTGCAATCAGTATCTGAAGAATGTCAAAGAATGGTTAATTTGAGGCATGACACCAATCTAGTAGAAAAGAACAATGAACGCGTGGAAGTTAAAACCTTGCAGAAAGCTTTTAATGGAAACACGGACAAGTACTCTCACCAAATTCCAAAGCAAACGAAACCCAAAACGTGTTGTTGGCGATGTGGTAAGCATCATTCTGCTAATGTTTGCTATTTTAAAAATAGAGTTTGTTTTCGATGTGATAAATACGGTTATGCTCAAGTCTGTTGTTAATGTGGACAAAAGATTGTCGACCATCAGAGTAAGGCTCGTAAAGGAAATAAGACGTAGACATCAAAAGAGATCCCATATAATTCGAGTGTCATTCTGACCACAAAAAGTGCTTATTTCTCATCTAAAAGGAAATATGTAACTCTGTTTTTCAATGGTAAGCCGGTTAAGCTGCAAGTTGATACGGGGTCCGACATAACATTAGTTTCTAGAGAGACGTGGATAAAACTTGGTCGACCTCGATATCACCCTACATATTATAACGCTAAGAGTGCAACAGGAACTAATATTACTCTTCTTGGAGAAATGCAGCTACCTCTCACATTAGGTGACAAGACTATGACCGGAAAATATTATGTGTCTGGAAACTGTCAAAACGGGAAATCACCAGCCGAAATAATGTTTGGCCGCCCAATTAGAACATTCTTGAATGTTTTGAATCCGAAAGACAGAATGTATGGACTACAAAAAAATAAGGAAGGGAATTATTCGAAGATTCGAGAGTTTAAAGTAGGTGACTTAGTTTATGCACGTGATTTCCGGCCTGGCAAGCCGAAATGGATATTTGGATGTATTAAAAAAAGACGTGGGACAGTATTGTATGAAGTTATGGTTGAAAATACACTAATTATCAGACATATCAATCAACTGAGAGACAGAAGAAATGTTTATGAGTCAGCTAACGCCAAATCTTTACCAATCGAAATATTATATGATACATTTAATATCCCACCACCACCACCACCACAAGTTGAAATGAGAAAAAATGAGCTGAAATCAAAAGTGAAGTCATACGATCAAACTTCGCGAGGGAGGTGATGTGTGGGCGAGAACGATCATGATTGGTTGTCTGCTTAAATAGACATGTAGACAGTCTGACAGGTATCAGATAAGTTATATATTCCCTTGAAGATTCCACAGGTATTTGGAGTTTGACAACGCTTTAACTAGTAACACCTTCTAATGTGAAACGTACCCACCAAGTGAAATCAAAAGACAGAAGCGAGGAGATCGAAGATATATTTGATAAGCTATCAATATATCGAGGATCGTTTGAACTAATCTGGCTAGCGATTGTGACAGATGTTGAGCACGGCGTTCCCACACGTGATCTGGTGCGGATGCTTGACTGATTGCCTTCAGCTAGATGAGTCCATTAAAACTGTGGTCAGCATCCCATGTCGAAAACTTACAGAGCTACTAATTTTGGGGATTTATTAACCGCTACACCCTTATCTTTATTGTTGTGACTCACTCTTATATACATCCTCTTATATTGATTGTTCATTGTTGTGGATTGTGTCGGTTTTGGGTGTGAAAATATATTACGTTCTGGTCAGTCTGATTACGTGTTCTTGATCTGAGTTGTGTTGAAGTCCTGTAGAATGGGCACTGGGAGGGATCTAGTGTAGATAATCGTTTAAGCGTTACAACATCAGACAAGGTAATACCGAGCGTTATAACAATTCGCGACGGAGCGTTATAACAATTACTAAAAAGGATTATTATGTTCAGTTGGGTGAATTTGTTCAAACAAACTGCTGAGTCGAGCGGTGTCCAAAATCTGATACTAATACAGTGTGATACGCGCTAACCCTTCCCCCCCCTTCTGACCACTTGAGCGAGGACACAATAGTGATGGAGAAAGTATATTAGGCTACCGAATAAAATGCACAAATACTCGTTCATATATATACCACTCTAGTCGTCCTTAGGAAATCGATCCGTTTCTCAGTCAATGAAGTGCACTTGTCCTATAAGCCATTTCTTATTGCCATCGGTTGACCTTCTCATTAGGCTACTTCTGGTTGTCTCTCTATATCACAAACCTTAATGTAAGGAACAGCATCCGATTCGGGAGGGTTGATTTCCTATTTCTTAATAGGCTCAATAATAGGACTGATGAGATCTAGATGTTTCCGTCGGCTGAAAGCTTTCATTAGGAGGAGCAATGCATATCGACCTCGGTTTCGCAAGCACTAAACCATCACGAACAATCCCAACGCCCCATTTGTTGGCATTACCATCAGTATCTAATACGATATTCATTGTTTCCAAAAGGTTGAGATAAGCATTTTGTTAATGTTACCGACTTATTTAATCACATTTATTGACACTAACATGTGTGACTAATCAATAGAAGGATAACCCGTGAGCTATTCGCATTTAGAAAATCTAGAATAGAGATAGAGAAGTAAGAGAGATTACTGCCGAGATTACAACTTATAAAAAACACATACATATCGTGAATTCTCAGTAAATATGAAGTGAAAGATAGAGGGTTACTAGTTATCCACACAACTGTGCACCAATCGTACTGTGTAGGGATTGATTGTTTTCGACTGAAACCTGTGAATGTAGGTTGAAATGGCTGTGGTGCTGAGTCATTCAAAACAACATCAGACACTAATGGGGCAAATCATCAAGTTGTAACTGAATACCTAACTAGGCAAATATTCTTGGTGTAGCTTGGAATGAGGAACTATAATTTGTCCAGTATGATTCTGCATAAAATAAAATCCAGGATTTGTTGAGGTGTTTATATGAACTAATGATTCCTTTGTTAATTTAAGGACTACCAATCATCACACGAGCATCACGATGGAGCCTCTGATGGAACATTTCGACATACATTCAAATTTTGATGCTTTCGAGGATTATATAGAAAGTTTCAAAATATGGACTATGATCAAGAAAAATATTGAGAATGTTAATATTGTGGCTCATTTCCTTACATTCATTGGAAAGGATGACTAAAACTTATTAAAAATTTTGGCATTTCCAGAATAGCCTTTCTCACTTCCTTATGCAGCTCTCAAGCAACTACTACTAGACCATGTAAAGTGTACAGATTTCGAATGCGGTAAAAGAGGGAAACTCCATGGACATCAACCATTCCACTACATTGCTACAACATTCCATTCCAATGAGTACTCAAGGTTATTCAAATAATAATTCATTGAGGTGTTGCGATGCAGGTCAAGTCACAAAGATGAGCACGAGTTTGATAAATGTTTGTTCTGTGACAAATTCCACTCATTTAATTCATGTGTATTTTGTGATGCTAAATCCTTTAAATTTAGTAAAGTTGGACACATACAGGCAGTTTGTAATACTACTACTACTCATTTCTTTGCAAACATTGCTAAACTATGTAATTCCGATCTGATTAAGTTAAATACATAAAATGAATCATAATCTGATCAGATTCGTGATATTATTTCACCAGATATGCGTTGTTCTTATGATTCATGTGAAAGATATATCGAGTGCACCAAGTCCTACTCAGATCTGTGATGTTATTTTATCAGATGTTGTTTATACTAATGATTCATTTGTTTCCAGTGAAATCTTAATTAAATACGAGGAACAAGTTCTAAATGAGTAAAAATCTGATTACAGTCCTTATGGTGTCGCATCTGATGCTAATTGTTCTCTTAAAATAGATTTATCTCTAGTGATATTCCTAATGAATATGACAAATATATTCTAAATGAGTCGAATTCTTGCCATATTTCTGATGTCATTGTATCAGATGTTAGATATTCTCACAACCAATGTATGTCGAGTAGAATCTCTAGTCAGAGTTATGATGAATTAGAGGAAATAGCAAGTTTCTCCTAAGCAGTTAGAGAACCAGTTTGCCCAGATATGAAGTTTGCACAGGCATAAAATTTAAATCGAGTCCGAGATTATCTTAATGAGTATAGGACAGATGCATGTTTTCCATTTGATTGTTTTTCAGATGAATCAAGCCTAGATGAATCACATGTGTTAATTATACATATCAATGCATATTGATCTGATAATTGGAACAACGGCCTTGTGTATTCTAATATGATAGGCAAAACGAAAATGTACCATATTTTTTATGCAAGTCAAATTCACATGACAGAATGTCTCAAATTATGTCAGTGTGTATCCCCGAATACTCACATATAACAATCGAAGTGTGTGACATGAGATAATGCGAATTGGGAATGTCAAATCGACCATGACATTGCGACATAAGGACCCTACATTATTTCATGGGGGGGGAGGAAAGTGTCTAAAAGTCTGTAGTTCAAATTCTAGGTATCAGTACATAACCGACATGGTGATTGTATACAATCCCAGGTGAGTCCGTTCCAATTTCAGTTGTTAATTCTAATACTGATAAGTATATTGTAGATCATACAGAGACTATATCCGGTACATGGTCGGACAGACACGATGAACTTAAGAAGAGGTACAATTGATTGAAGAATTTGGATTCTCGTTTAAGCTGTGGCGGATGTGTTGTTTGTATGAACTAATAATTCCTTTGTGCTTGATGACTGCCTGATTTCGAATTCCAAATACAACACGTTCGTTCGTGCTCATATAATACTTCTTGGTTAAATTGCGTTATTTCTGGGATTCCTAGTTTGTGTTATAATTCAAATACTCCTAATCATCACAAACTCCTAGTTCTTATAATAATTCAAATACTTCTAATTATCACATTTGTCCTCTATTTGACATCACACTTTCATGATCAGATAGCAAATGAGGTACATCAGATGATACACAGTGCAGTACCAATTATCTCTTTTAATCGTGTTCAAGTGTAACTGACCTCACGATGTGCGATCTTATACGCAAAAAAACATAACCTGCTAGTTCGTCAGGTTATGATTCATCTTAGTAAACACAGTTTTATCCAGTCTACTAGCTATATGTGTTAAATAAGTTGAGTTGTAAATACTACATATGGAAGTGACTACAATAAAAAGATCAAGTTCCATAAAAAGTAAACTTGATCACTTTAGAATCATGACAATTATATTGCTAAACATTACCATACTCTATTGAAAAGTGAGAAGATATTTTAAATGAAAGACCCGACCTATTTACAGACGTTACTGGAGAGAAAATCAAAACAATGAAGCGAATGCAAATATTTATTGCAAAACACTGTTAGTGATACAAAACAAATTGCATATTCAATATGGGAACAAAAATCAACGTCTTTTTTCTCGTGAAGTAACAGAACTAACGGTTGTAGTAACTGGTGAGTTAGTTGAAGAAACTAGAGCTGTGTTTGAGTCAACTGAACGCAAAGATTTCCTTGTTCGTTTTTGACTAAAGGGATCTAAAAAAAAATTTAACAGAAACACTTATTATGGCTTAATACAGTGTAAACTATAGTTCTTAACATAAATAGGTACAGTACCTAATCCTTCCTATTATGCTTTTAATTTGAAACAAAGATGGGAATAATTCATTCTGTATTGTTTGAATCTTACCACTGATGTTCAAGACTGAAATTGACCAGTCCTGTGCGGATTGCCTGGATATTACCTTAAGTCACAAGCATTATAAACAAAGATAGATGATGGATAACAGTGGAGTGAATATCAACTCTGAGATGCATCTACATCCAGCTGATCAGTCCTAAATAAGACGAAACGTGCGTCCTGGATTTCATTGCCAGACATCATTCGCCTTTGATTATAAAGATGGGGATATATTTATTTTATCAACGGATAGTTATTTTTTAGGCCATAACTACGTATCAAACAATGCACACCATTTTAAGAAAAAGCTCTGTAACTAAAGGTGTAAAGATCCAATAATCTTTAGAAAAAAATATTTCTCCAGTGTTTTCGCATTTGTGGATAACAATACGTGTTTTGAATTATATATCTTAAGAGTCACAAAGGTATGTGTAAGAAAATAACAGAAACAGTATTTGTACAGTCAGGGTGAACTCTGTATTAACTCACCAGTACGTGGAGATCGAGAAACAGATATGCCACTCTGTGATGTCACACGAGGATACTTCAAAGATTTTAGGGAGTCATACTCCTCTGGGAGGTTGAATTCTTTCATCTTTGCTTGAAACGGATTAACTTCAGAGTCGTGCTAGATGAGAATGCTTTATTAAGAGGAAGATTAAATTACCAACTCTTCCATGTTATACAACGAACCTAGCTTTTTCCAAATAGTATCTGCACTAATTGGATCACTCACATACGAGTTTACAAGGTTGCATACATATATCATCTGAAAATGACGATCTGCGCCGACAGGTTTGTGATTCAATATTGCATGGAAAAGTTGAATCTCTGATTCCAAAGTCCATACGTCCAGGCCAGCCTGATCAACCATAGGTGAGTATTGTTTGATCCCAAAACACCTAAAACCACGAAGCAACATAAATCGTAACGAGACTATAGATTAATACATCAGAATACCAATTATATATACTTTGGCAAAGTTTGGGATTCTGAATGACATGAAACATCCAAGAGGATGACATGGATTTTTTAACAGTAGTTGAGTATGACGTTTAAGTTTTCAATATCGAGGCTCAAATTTACGAAACACACCACCTTATAAATTGTGATAAAGCAGTATATCACAGATATTTTTTAGAACGAAAGTGGTTATAATTAATGATGTTAATATCATTTTTAAGACTAAGTATGGTTACTTCTAACTACAACCAACCAATGTAAAAGAATTTTAACAGCAACACACCACTCACTAAGCTAACAAAGTAATGTATAGCTTGTAAGATAAAATGATTTCGTTCCTTAGTCAGGAAAGACTAATTTATTTATTCTGGCCAAGTTTTTTAACAAGTTTTTCCTCTACGGGATGGGGTTTTCACCAACAATACAGTTGGTGAGTTTCAAAAAAGACCTGAAACGTATATCACAGAGATCAGAACTTTTTTCCATGAAGATCAATGTAATTTTCTGTACGCACTAGGATAGATGATTATATACTAGCATATTTGTCTGCTGCAAGCAAACTTGCAAGGTAGCATGCTTATGCATAAATTCGCTTGTTAACAAGGCATAACTAGTAATCCCAATTGAAACGACTAGTTATGCCATTAAGAGTGATTTAAGCTAATTAAAGTTGACATTAAAATTCAGTAAGTTAGATCCTACGTTTTCTTTTCAGAAATTCTAGTGAGAATGTTACTAATGAACGATCTTTGAGCGATACCAGTGGACGAGGGAAAACCCACCTACTTTACTGTTATAAACATGAATCATGTCGGATGACAAATGATAAGCTTCTCGACAACTATGTCTATAATATTCAGCGATAGTGTTTCCGAATCACTGTTTTTGGTGTTAAAATTTCTTTACAAAAAATTTGGATTTTAACGAATGCAAAACATATTTCTGACATGCTTAACTGATATTTCAAATAATATTGTCCTAATCTACCGTCGATTCTACTTCGTAACTAAAAACTGACATGTGGATCTAGCATATACTAGATCCACATAGGAATTGATGGTTTTCAATGACAACAAAATCACCTTAAATTTACTCAGGGACGAACGACTATAAACCCAGCCATTTTTCACCGTACAATCAAGGTGTCAAAGGAAATATTTTGTCACTTAACATTCATTCAGCAGTTGGACCACAACTTATGAACGACCTTTAAGCGATGCCCTGGTGACCTTGAGAATGCCTACTCAATTGAGTAAAATTAGGGTAACAGATTAGTGTAGCGATTTATGGTTGAAGTTTGCAGTTTGACGTTAAACTTGAGAATTAAAGTTAGGGTTTTCATCACGAAATAATGTCACCCACCGTTCTTTTCCAGCAAACTGTAACATGTGTTGTCGGTGTTTATTTGGAAGCAGTAGATGTCTCAACCATTCTCGTTCACTTCAAGTAGATCCCACAATCATTCAACACAGATCACCTAGGTTGGTAATCAACAATTGTTTGACCTACGACTGGAATGTACTGTCGACCCAAATGGAGAAAAAGCAGAGGAACAAAGGAAGCAGAGTAAATCTACAATCAGGTTGATCGTAACAAGAGTTCATTTTCCCCTCTTATATTATATGATGACTACTGATACTGGACTTTGATGACATACTTAGTGAAGCCCACTAAGTTTCCGAAGTCTCCGACTTACTGAGCGACTTTCGGTAAGCACTGAATCACTTATGAATCAAACTACAATATAATTTACATCAATTATACAACTCTTTTAATGAAATTCGTACTTGACTCTTATTGTCTAACGAAGTCGGCCTAAATATAGTGTACGGAATACAACTGTATTTCACTGCAAAAGCGTTTAAAAGCGGATGACATAAACTGAGTGCCGTTGTCAGTCACTAAAATCTCTCCGACTCTAAGGCAAGCAAACAATCCTGGCAGTCTTCTTATTATACTCTCTGATGTCGTTTAAGGTATGTCATATACTTCTGGTCATTTTTTGAAAGCATCGACAACAACCAAGTAATTTCTGCCTTGTATTGGTCCGGCGAAATCAACGTGTGCTCTTTGTTAAGTCCTGTCCGATTTTGGCCATGGTTGTGGTTCTGCTTTCGTTGGATTCTTTGCAGCCTCTAGACAGAACCAACAACTGCTACATTTTTGTTCTGTATCATGGTCCATTGACGGCCAGTATGTATAGCTGCGAGCTTGTGATTTCATTTTACTTATCCCCGGGTGCCCGCTGTGAAACTGCTTAATGGCTCGGTGTCGAAGATTTCTGGGGATAACGATACGGTGGCCAAACCTGATGCACGAATCGACAACCGTTAAGGAATCTCGTCGGCGAAAATACTGCCGGTAGCGATTTATGGTCTGGTAGTGAGGTAAACTGTCTGCCAAATAGCATCCTGTTGATTTTTTACAACGAATATAATTGAGTGGGCTTTTTTCTCTGTCTGACTGTCGTTCATTTCTGTCATAGTTGTGATCGTACAGCGCGAGCGATTGCCTTTTCAAACCCGTCAGGGTAGGTATGTGAAATTACTGCTCCGATCCCGTAGTTTTACGCATCTGTTGCGACTATAATTGGGAGATCTGGATCGTAGTGTGTAAGTAGAATGTTTGATGATAGGTGTTTTATTTTGAGGAATGTTTCTTGACATTCGGCTGACCGGAACCATTTGATATCCTATCTCAGTAAGCAATTAAAAGTAGCACGAAGGCGATGCAGATCTGCAAGAAAAACGTTATAATGATTAATCATTACCAAGAAAGAACGTAAAATTGATACATCAATCGGTGGAGGCATGGACTTGATAGCTTCGGCGTTTTCAGGATCAGGTTTTTTCCCGTTTTTATCGATCATGAATCCCATGATCAGTATTTCATTGAGAAGGGCCACAATACCGGGGATATCTTGTAGTATAGTGTCCATAACTTGTTAGAAGACTGAAGGGGCTGTCTTTATTTCAAACGGAAGTCTGTTACATCGGAACAACCCTTTATGAGTGTTCATTGTCAAGTAATGCTTACACTCTTCCGTTACTGGAATCTGTAGGTCAGCTTCTGATAAGTCCAGTTTTGCAAAACACTTGCCACCATTCAGTTTCGCAAATAAGTCTTCCGGTATCGGCAAAGGGTATTGGTGGGCTTCAAGTCCTTCGTTTAATCCAGTCGAATAATCTGCGCATAGCCGGATACTTCCACTTTGCTTTTTGACAATCACTATTGAAGCTGCCCGGTCAGAAAAGTTTACTGGTTCTATCAATCCATTTCTTTGCAGACGCTCTAACTCTTGTTCAACAATAGGCAGCGCTGCATAGGGTGCCGGACGTTTTGGTCCAAAAACGGTAGTGACTCGCGGTTTAAGAACTAGTAGTGCTTTTACCTTTTTGCGCTCCCTCAGTTCTCCCGTAAACACTTGACTGTGTCTTTCCAACACAACATCCGCGAGATTCTTTTCCGTTGGTTTATTGGTTCTTCCGGGGCTGCATATGTGGTTAATGGAATGCTTTGCTAATTGTGGTGTTTTTAATAGGTCTAGACCCATCAAATTTAGTCCTGGATCCTCTGTGAGATATAGTGTTGCATTCGTCCTCGCGTTTTTTTGAAACTGTGCAACAAACCTCTCCAACAATATTCAATTTCCCTTCAGAAGCACCATGAGCTAACTGGGCTGTTTGGGACACCTGGGGGTTTCCGATAAGCTTCCAGGTTCTTCGGCTTATAAGTGCGATATCGGGAACAGTGTCGGGCTGCAGGCGAGCACGTTGTTTATTTACCTCTGAGTTTACATATCTTCGTCGGCGGCAAATTTGTGCTCGGTTGTGTGATATCAATATTTTCTTAGTGTACTAGTTCTGTATTTCTTGGAGTAGGGTTTCGAGTAATATCGTTTATGAGTTATTTTCCTGCATCTTGTCTTTTGTGGCCCTTACGATGACATTCTTTATATGGGCAAACCTCTTATAATGCCAACCTCCATATGACCAGCATGGAAATGAGCGCTGGTTGTTTGAAATGTTCTTCTTACGTACAAGAGAATCTTTCTGGCTATTTATTGCCTGCATGTATGGTGGCCGGCCACTGTTTTCAACCATGTAAGTGTTATGTTTTAAATTCACCAACCTCTGACACTCACTAGTCACTTCTTGTAGTGTTATATTTGGACACTGTTCAATCTTGCACAGAATTCTGTTTCTGATGTTGGCATCTTCAGGTGACTGCAAGCTGAATACAAAAACAAGACACGTGAACTGATATGCTGTCATTGATGATAATTTGAAGCGCTCATATTCGCGATTTACTATGCCAGCATGTTGTACCCAGTCATCGTCTCCCGCTTTAGCCAACTTCAGACATTGGAAACGAATATTGAACAACGATGACTGTTCACCAAAAACTTGTGACAAAGTTACAACCGTTGCATCAAATGAAAGGTCTCTTGTTTTCTTAGGGAAAATGAAATTGGTGTAGTGTTCATTTTCACCTGTACCAAGTTTGAGTAGCAATATTCTGGCCTTTGTGTCATCATCAAATTTCTTGATTCATGATTTAAATGTGACACCAACCAAACTATCAAAATGAAATTCATGGATAGAATCAATAGTTTGATCAGTATGAGATTTGTAAGTATCATTTGTAAGTCCCTTCTGATTTAGATTCATTTTCTAGGTTAGAGTCTTTATAATACGGATCTGGAACTGTTTGAAACGTGTGCAACTGCTCTTAGTAGTTAAGGTGCTGTCGCGCGATTTTGAAGGGTATGTTACATCTAGTATGTTTACTACTGATGTTTCAGGATCTCAGGACACTTTGAAAAAGGTCTAACCTAACCGATAGACGGAGGTTAGAATGAATCTTCCATAACAAACTATTGCAAAACAACCAGACAACAGAAATGGTGCACTTACACTTTCATTTTTCCCGTTCTCAGCACAGCTGAAAAAAAGTGAAAAACCGACGAATAATAAAATGAGTACAAACTTTTGTCGTGCATTTTTTTCATTGCCGTGTTGTGAAGAACATACTATTTGCCTTGTTCGTTCATATTTGTCTTCGTATTCCTTAGGGAATCAATCATCCATAATGACTAGACACAAAAGTATTTAATAGAATCCTTGTATTTCTTCCGTAACCGAGGGTAATTTGATTATTCTTGGTAATCTTCACCGCTTTTGTAGTGTGTGATGCTTTCTCACGAAGAAGTGTATAGAACAAAATGATAACTCTATACGATATCTCTCAAATCCTGCCATTCCCTATGATGACTTGAATGGTCAGACCACCTAAAAAGTGCTGGATATCTATAATTCTGCGATGGTTGATGGAAATCATCTTGCCTCAGATCATGCATTTGTTTGGTGATGTGTTGTGGAGTTATGGTCTACTTCGTTAATGATACTGCCGTAACAATAGACCTAATCCCAAAATTGTAGACTCGTCATGATGTGACTGTCTAATGTATAAGATCTCACGCGGAAGTCACATAGTTGTCTACACTAGCTCATCTCATCGTAACAATCACCAATATATGATGGAGATGGTACAACATACTTGATATTAATAAAAGTAGTACATCACACTAAAACAATTACGCCGAGCCATGCCAACCGATAAACTGAATTAGTCGAGATAATTCTTCACCATTGTTGGGTTTTTCTCCGCGTTAAATGTTGAATATCTATTTCTCCAGCTGTCTCATGTTCAGCTTTCAGGATTATGCGATTAGAACTCAATTCCACTCAGTGTATTACGCGATTTATCATGCCAAGATTGCATCGGGCAGTCTTCTGACTCTGATGCTATTAAGCATACTTACTTATGCGTCCCCATCTTCTCACTTGATTTGTAAGACCTGAAGCGAGCAGGAAGCTTTATTGATATGATAAAGTCAGTGAGATTATTCCCCACAAGGTGGGATCAAATATCTACGTGCAAGGATTTTAAATCACATCCATTAATCAGCCTAAGGTCAGCAATAATCAGCCGCTTTATGGCGTAATTCTGATTTCGGTAAAAACAAACAGTTTATCGTCAGTTGCCCGGCATAGTACAACAATAATTTTACATAAAAAGATTTTAGAGTCTTCTACAAGTATCAACAATCCTACACGGAACATGTTTCAATTCAATCTATACACCATCAAAAGCGCCAAATGATGCAGAAAGTTCATGATATAACAATCGACAAATTAAGTCTTAAGCCTCGTTGTAAGGTCCTTGTGAAGCTCAAATAAATGTTTTCGCTTTTTATGGACCTTCAGATCGGTGTGGCCAAGCCAATTTTTTTTGAGAAGTCTTTAATATAAATAGAAAAATGAGTGGGTCTAGGAGTGCTCCCTGCGAATCAATTGACGCTGAGGCCGCCGCACTTGAATGCACGCAACTTACTTTGGTACGAAGCATCCTGTCTCCTAGATAGTCTTTGAGTCAATCCAAAAGTGAGGTACTGATATATGCCTCTGTAACCTTTGCAATGACAAGTATATGAGATACTGTGTCAAAGGCTTCTTCGAAATCGAGGAATATGACATGAATCGGTATCTAATGGTCTACACAAGTCATCCAGTTTTCCCAAGCTATGAGTAGATTTGACTCACAGGACCTGCTGCTCCTGAACCTATGTTAGGCTTCATAGAGGAAGTTGTCTGTTTCCCTGTTTTCCCTAATTTGTTCATTGACCGGCCCTTCCATTACCTTGGGAATAACGCGACTGATCTGTAACAGGCTTGGCTCTCTCTTTCACCTCGCTCGAATACTGAAGGGAGTGGCCTTCTTCCAATGTCTTAAGAGTTGGTGTGAATCTAGTGAGTTCGTGGGCAGATCGCACACTGATATTCCACACACCATTTAAAGATCATACGTCGGATGTTGCCACGCTCTGATAACTCTCCAGGGTTCAGGGATTCTAGTCTCTTTAATACAAACTTAGAAGTTGATTTCTCATATTCTGAACCAGCACTACAGTTGAGAGACGTTCCGTGCTTGCAGGCTACTGGTTTAGTTGATCCGTGAAGTTGGAAATGAAGGTCTCTACAATTTCTAAGTCAGCGAGATGTTTTCTCTTTGGCTCTTAAAGGGTAACGATCCTCTGGTTTCTAGGATTTTATTCATAATACCGTAGCGACATTTGCGGTTGTCTTACATTCTGGCTTGGCCTGAAAACATTGCCTCTCGCTGAGAACCATGGTATCGCATCTTTTTTTATACTTGGAGTGAGAGCTGTAATCAGAATACTCCAAGAAACTTTTCCCTAATGCCAGGTTCTTCTTTCGACCTTTGAACCATCTTGCCCAGGATCTTCGCTTCCTGGGTGTTCAACTGTATTGTATGTCTCAAAAACATGTTGCATATCTGAAGTAGATTGCAACATATAGTCAAGTTGTTGAGACTCAGTAAGAGTACTTGTCTGAAGATGAGCGAAGCGAAAAGTTGGGAGGTTTATGGTTAGTGAATAGAAAGGGTTCTCGACTCTCCACAAAGTACTGAAAGTGCCGTACAGCACGATGCAGAGCTGAGAGTTCAATGTTGACGGCGTTACACCTCAGTTAGATGCTTTGCGACCGGTCCTACAAGAACGCTAAAAGTTGCCAACTTTTATCTATCCACTGGTGCAGTACGCTTCTGACTGCTAAGCCGTATGTGCCTACGGCGATACTAGTAGTTGTTTTGATGTCCTGGTGTGAGAGCATAGATGGCTTGGCAACAATTTCCTCAACCATGCGAAATGATTTCTGGCTGCCATGCAAGTTGGTGACTTTCTCATTTTCACAAAGCTGGTCAGCTAAAGGCCTTATAAGAGATGTGCAATCAGGATTGAACTGCTGAGTAAAGCTTATCAGTCCGTCAAACGTGCGCATTTATTTGACTGTGGTCCTTTTTGGGCAATCTAGAATACCCGCCTCTCTAGCTGAAGACGTAGTGGGGGAGAATACAGAGTAGCGTGAATGAGGAGAACTAGAAAAGAGAAGAACAAACAAAAAAGTGAGCCGATAACACAATAAGCGAACACAATACACTTATATTTATTAATGAAGACAACAAACACTCAGCAGTAACACAAGGCCCCGATAAAGTTAATCTTGAAAGTAAAACTAGAATCAAATAGTTTAGTCTGCTAAAGCACTGTGCTTTTAATTTCGGACGAAAATATACGGGGAGCAATCCTAGTTCTGATTGGTTCACTCAAGGCCGTCCTGGCGGTAATTTCACCCTACGACGAGTCAGTACTTCTGTTCATTTATAGATTTTCTAAATAATCGCTCTGATAGAATAACAGCAACAGCATCGGTTGTATTTGTATGACTAAACATAAGGAAAGTCGTCAAAGTACTTCGTTGTTTCGTCTTCTGAACTTTGAACTTTTCGTCAAACCAGTAATATATATTCATATGAATCTTAACGTTAACTTGTTTAGAATAAGGTCGTAATATCTTTTGGACTATCTGCAATAACTGGGTGTGTTGCATACCTGGCCTACCTAAATTTGACTCATCAGCATTCTCAGGATCTTGCAGCAAGTAGCAACATCAGTAATAACCATAAGTCTAACTGGGACTGATCTCAGAGATGCCACTCTACAACACAGTCTTGTATATTCCTCCCATTGAACCTCCGAGAATCACTGATTTTGACTCCAGCGCTTCTCACATTAACGACGACCGAATGAAAATTGCTGAGGTAGAAGCTTGTTTTGGAGAATTTGAGGCGCAACTTTCCAAGGTAAATTTTTCATTCCTGTAACTCATTTTTGTATTAGTCTATGAGTATTCCTCTAGCGCTTCTCGTTTTGTGTTCGAAAAATAGGAGACGACTAAATAATCTGCTTCTCTTAATTGTTTAAACAATTAGTAGTCATATTACGAAAATGTGCAGGTGTGTGCATGGTTACATTGTAGAATCATATGTAAATTAACTACTTTGCCGTTCTTAACATGTCACTGAGTTTTTATAACAATCATATGACGAGCACATTTTTCTTGTAAATAGGCGACAAACCACAACCAGGATAACTAGGCTACTTTGCGAATTAACATGGAAAAGGCTATTAAATGGAATCTCAATTATCCTATGAACAAAATACCTTAAGAAGGTTATGTTCGATCTTCGAAATAACCAGTGATTCTTAAACCACTTGTCGCTAATCGTAAAATTATTGTTCTGTCTCGTCCTTTAAAAAATATTGTTACTCTCTTCACATTCATATTGTAGTCAACTATCGAGTAAGGGTACTAATTCTACTTCTCTTACTGTTTACTGCTTTAAGTTACCGAATTTTCGGGGGCCGTTAGGACGTAGATTCCAGGACAAATTGTCCTATACAACATACACTAAGTATCCATACAGATAAATGGTTCTGATGATCAAAATATTTGCATAACATGTCAAATTCCAGTGTGTTAAGTCAATGACTTCTGCAACTAACACATAGACTTGTGTACTCATGTATGGGTGTACAGTAAGTTTTTCTCTGGAGATACTGTGAAAAGTAGTCATCAAAGAATTATTCATCCCTCTCTTTAATTACTTATTTATTTGAACACATAAATATTGGTACAGGGGGGCACCAAATATGTATGCGCCACACACATTCTTATTACACCGATCGGTAATGATTTAGGATCCTTTAAAAATATTGTTTCATTAAATTAAAAGTACAAATACACTACTGAGTGAGTTCAAACTATGGATCTCAATATTTTTTTATAGTCTCTTCTAACTCATAACAAGTGAAATTGTCTTAAAAGACTAGTATTCTGCTAAAAAGTTAATTCAAAACATGAGAATATTAGTCTGAATCCTTCAAAAGCTGTAGGCTCTTTTTGTACACCGTTGCCTTACATCACTGTAAGGTAACTATAGGGTCATAAAACTTTGAATTGGTTCATGATATAGATGTTCTTGAAAATTATCATTCTTTATGTTCTAGATTTATTTCTATAATGCTTAGTCTTTATCCATACTTTTCGTTGTCTTCTACTTCTTTCAGCTTTCTTATTAAGTTCCTGTTACCTTACTGTCGTTTAATGTGACAATTTAAACATACAGTTGCACGACGTTCGCATTTCAAGCTACCTCTACCATATTTCCTATAAACATACGTAGCCTGCTTGAATGCTTTATGAAAAGGGAGACTTATTGTTTATTTATTTATTTATTTGAACACAAATATTGGTAAAAGGGGGCACCAGATACATATGCGCCACACATATGTGAATTAATTGTCATCTCATCAAATTTGTGTGAGGGCTGTGATACTGCTCAGGTGCCCAAACTGAAGCAGGTGGTTTTCTTAGGGGGCCACACCCGGAGCCTTTGTCCTGAAGGTCTGATCCACAAGGCAGTGGAGCACCGTAAGAAGATGCAGTCCCATGGTAGCCGGTGACCAACGATCGGTTCATACACCATTTGTTCCCTCAGGGTACTGGAGCCCATGTGCACCATTGGTTTGGAATCGTGGTTTTCCAACTCCCCTAGGTGGACTCTCCATGTCTACCAACCCGGTTAAAGCGCCGGACCTTCGCTTTTTGTCCTCTCAATTTCGTAGACAACACCCCCGCCGCGAGAAGGCAGTGAGTAGGACTTCCCTGGCAGAGGTTATATACGCGTGGCCATGTGAGAGCATTTCGAGAGGGAAAGCAGCTCTGCTCACTCTCGACCGTACCAGGGCATTTGGGGGCTTATTGACTAGGTACCAGTCCGCCGAAGTAATTTTTGGCTGGCAACTAGAATTTTCGACGTTTCCTACTTAACGAAAATTAAGAATCTTTACTAATTACTTCATCTACCAGGTGCGTATTCATACACCTTAAGCACAAGGGCTAGTGATATTACTCAGTTACCCATACTGAAATAGGTGAGTCAAGATTCAAACCTGTGGCGTGGTTGATGAAGATCGAACTCTTTAACCACTGAACTACTGGATTTAATCGTGACTTGTGTAATACATGTTATAACCACTTCATTTGATTTTGTTCGTCATATCAACTAATGTATTTTCTTTATATACTAGCTTTACGCTTGACATCGTCATTGTATACTTACAATGCTACAAAGAATCGCTTAATAAACAGTCGGTTTTATAATGGTATAGCTTGTTTTTCCGCCACTACTCAATAGCACTAAAAAACTGACTGAACGAAATATCAATCAGTTAAGATTTTTCGCAACTATATTTATGCTTCTCAAGATGCTTCATTGTCTGTTTTACTGACTACATTTAACCAACAAAACCCATTATAGTTTAATCCCGACCGTTGTTGCTACCTTGACGTGGTGGTCGGACTTACCTATCGTGATAAACCAATCGAGCTATACTGGCTGCAACAATCGTTCCTCAAGGTCCTACCATGCCACACAGGTCGGTTGAAGAACGGTAAGACTAAAAGCAACAAATCCAAGGTCTGAAGGCGAAGTCGTACTGCTGACTGTACACAGGTATGACAGCAGTAAGATGTTTCCTTCAGACAACCAGCATGACAGCGATGCTGCCTCCCCATAAGTAAGGGTTGGGGTTAGCAGAGGTCGACCCTATAAATGCACACCTCACCTTATCCAACGGATATCCGTCTCCAACGGTAAGGTCTCACCAAGTACGGAGCTAACACAAAAATTACTCACAAAAAGGTCGTGTGTGACCGACCTTAAGCAGTTGTCGCTTGAGCACTTTGGTCACGCTCTCAAGTCACTAAGACCAACCCTAATCCAATTTCCTTTTCAGGTACCTCCAGAAGAACTCTTCCTCTGTGTGGGCAACCGGGAAGTGATAACCGCCCTCATACCTCTAACAGCACTCAAGACCACTGTATTCATAATCAACCTACCTCTTCAATTCCTATTATTCCTCCTACATCGACTTTCAACACTAAACTTCCTCTTTTGGCTTCCTCCTCAAGTGTCACGATTCTAGTGCGCAAAACACTGTCCCAGGTCTACTGAAACCTCGCTCCAAACTACACATTGGAGCCTTCAACGTTCGCACACTATGTCAAATTGGTCAGCAGGCCTCCTTGGCTAAAACCTTAGAATCTCGTACGATTGATATATGCTGTGTCTCTCAAACACGCATACACGATCCTAGTGTGGTCATTTACTTGACCTCACCTCGGCAAAACGGAGAGCCGACGAGATAAACCCTCCATGTATCTCGCGACCCGATGGCCAGTTCTCGTGGAATGGCAGGTGTAGGCATAGCACTAAGCATGAGGGCGGAACAAACACTGTTAGAGTGGATCCCTGTTAACATTCGTTTATGTGCTGTTCGGCTAAACGGCTCCGTGAGAACTCGGAAGGATAGGAACACACGTCGTTGCCTTTTTGTCGTTTCTGCCTACGCTCCCAATGACTGCAGCTCGGATGAAGTGAAAGATGAATTTTACAGAAAGCTTTCTGAAGAAGTTCAGAAAGCTAGACGTTCAGATATAGTACTCGTAGGAGGTGACTTTAATGCCCAGATAGGTAGCTTAAACCAAACAGAAAGGCATTTAGGTGGGTATTTTAGTATTCCGGCACAGCGAACAGATAATGGTGATCGTCTGCTGCAACTGTGCTCAGACAATCGTTTATTTTTAGCAAACACAAACTTTAAGCATAAGGAGAGACATCATCTAACATGGTGACCCCTGCACTAAACAAACGATGGAGTCAAATGGACCATATTGCGATCAGTCATCGTTGGAGAGGGTCGATAGAAGACTGTCGTTCGTTCTGGAGTACCTGCTTGGACTCCGACCATGCTTTAATACGGGCAGGCATCTGCTTGCGCCTCAGTGGACGCAAGTAAGCTACACTAAAAAGACCCATTAGAACTGAATTGAGTAACGAGAAAAGCAAAAGTAGGTTCCGTGAACAACTGATGTGAAAACGAGGCTGACCCAGATGTTGCTTGGAAAGATATACAAGGAGCTGTGGAAACAGCAGTGACATCTATTCGTGATTTAAACCACATGGTTACAAAGAACCAATGGATTTCTTCGAGGTGTATTGCACTGATTGATTCTCGTAAACTCATCCTATCAAGCTCTGAATACGATGAAGGGCGTAAAGAAATCAGATCTAGGTTAAGGAAAAGTCTAAGGAACGACTGTGAGCAGTGGTGGGCAACGAAATCAAAAGAGATGTAAAAGGCGGCGGCTCTAGGGGAGACAAGACAGCTCTACAGACAAATAAAAGAAACTGGAATTAATAAGTGAAGTATAAGTGAGACCATCTTGGAAAAAGATGACACTCTCATCTGCTCCTAGTTCAAACGTTTAGACGATGGGCGGAACATTTTAGAGAACAGTTCAGCTGGCCTTCAGCTACTCTACAACTACCCTCCATTCCCAGACAGTGTGAATAGAACATTGAAGTAGTTCCCCGAACTCTAGATGAAGTTGAAAAGGCTATAGTTAATCTGAAATGAGGAAGGGAAGCTGGTCCATATGGATTGGCTCCAGAGGTGTTTAAGTATTGTGGTGCAATTTTAGTGATTATGTTGATTAAAATTTTAGGTAAAATCTGGGAGTTGGACGTCATCCCATCTGACTGGTCACAATCATTTATCGTCGCAATATATAAGAAAGGGTCAGAATCATCCTGTGACCACATTTACGATTCGTCAGGTTCTAGAACACGGGCATCCGACGATGGTGGTCTTTGTTGACTTAAAGGCAGCACTTGTCTTCGTAGACCGCAAAATTCTGTGACAGGATCTGTCATTGAAAGGTGTACCTCAGAAGTACATAAACCTTGTGAAGGCTCTTTACTCGAACACTACTAGTTGAGTGAGAGCTTATGGCGAACTGTCATCTGCTTTTGCAACGTCAAATGGTGTCCGTCAGGGCTGTCCACTTTCTCCATTTTCGTTTAACTTCATCATAGACCTACTGATGGAAATAACGCTCCCATCGACTGAATTCTCGCGTATTGATCTCCTACCAGGAGGTCCACTTATCGACTTAGAACACGCAGACGATATAGTCCCGTTTGGTGAAGACGCTGATAAAATGCAGTGTTTCGGTAGCACTGAGCAACAATGCCAGAATGTTTGTAATGCACTTCTCTCCCTCTAAATGCAAGTTGTTGCTTCAGGACTGATCTGTATCAACACCTGAACTAAGCATAGGGAGTGAAGTAGTCGGACGCGTTGACAACTTCACTTATCTTGGAAGTCTGATCAGTCCTAATGGGTTGGTGTCTGACGAAATCTCAGCATGGATTCGAGAAGCTCGTTTGGCTTTTGCTAAATTAAGTCACCTATGGCGAAGGCGAAATATGCGTCTATCAATAAAGGGACGGGTATAGTGCGCGGCAGTTCGTTCTGTTTTACTTTACGGCTGAGAGACGCAGCCATTAAGAGTTGAAGATACTCGTAAGCTACTAGTATTTGACCACAGATAACTTTGAAATATTGCTCGCATCTTCTGGGATCACCGGGTAAGTAATGATAAGGTTAGACGCAGGGTATTAGGGAATGATGGTAAATCAGTTGATGAGGTTGTGAATCTTCATCGACTGAGATGGTTTAGCCACGTGTTACGTATGCCTGAACACCGATTACCACGACGCGCAATGCCGACTAGTGTTGAGGATGGTTGGAAGAAAGTTAGGGGCGGCCAAGCCAAAACGTTGCATCAGTGCTTAAAGACACTAACTTCTTGTGTGAGCCATGTTGGTAGATGCAGACTGCTTGGTTGGGGTCCGTGTGACTATCGTAACCAATGGTTGAAGAGTGTGGGTGAAATGGCTCAGAATCGATCGGTCACAATGGCGTAGGTGTATAAACTCTCTGTCTTCCCTTAAACTAAGAGATTAAAATCGCTTCATATCTTTCTTTCTACGAACTAATTGTTTCTTCCTGTACTATATCCTTATATGCAATCTTTCTTTTATATATTACCACCATTGAATTAACTACTATGAATTTGGTGTTCATATTGTTGTACTAATGAGATATGGCAACTTGGACGGATGGGTATATGTGCCTGGTCCTACGTTCTAGCTGACTGACTGACTATACTTTATTTCATGATTCTATCTGAGCTAGAACACCACTGTAAACCTAGGAGCAGTAGACGGCCGTTTCGCCCCTCCTCACTGAGCATTCACGACCCCTCACGCGGGACTCAAACCTAGGACCTTCAGTTTCGCGCGCAAACGTCTAATCTCTACACCACTGAGATGGCATCCAACAGTGTTAATGCCTTATGCAATCCTTCATCCACGGACTTGACTCCACTGGTCACAACTCACTAGAACTTTAGAAAATCCATCTTGAAGCTAGTCATTAGTGAGCATATAATTATTATCAGAATGGTGATGTAGCTTGGACCGACTCATGAATTCAACTATTAAAATTATCACAATCTTCACAAATCCCCACTTTGATAACACTCACTATTTTGTTAACCACCTTCAGGTGACCTCGCAACTGTTGTTATTACTCGGATAACCACTTTAATGTACTTTATTCCTTTGCTTTGTAGTTGTTCTTCCTCAGAGAGTTTTTCATTCATCTCCTAACAATTCGGTTTCTACGTACCATGATTAATTTTTATGTTATTTTCATAACAATTATTCAAAGTAGGTTCTTGTACTTTTTTTATCTTCAGTTTTGCCATTGTAGTCAATCGAATGATGTTCATAGTCAATGTTGTGTTCCTGGAGCTGGAAATTTAACACATCCAGTGAATGAAAGATACCTACGTCGTACTGTAGATGAACAATTAAGAGATCTTACACTGGAAGGTGAACGTAATCGAACACGTGTCGATCGAGATCCTCAGAATAGTAATTTTGATCGAAACTCAATTTCCATCTTACATCGACGTGGAAGATTTGACTCACACAGAGCTCAGGATTCTGTCACACAATCCTCAAGTGAGCTACCTCAAAATTTTAACGAATCCATGACTGCAGGTGGAATAGCTGAGGCAGAAAGCAGTGATAATTTTCTTGTGGATGAAGAAGAAGCCGAGGCTACTGTTGCAACAGAAGAAGAACTTGATGCCACAGAATAAACCTTCTCGATCTTTGTTATTTAGAGTTATTAGGTGTTATTATATCCGTTTTGGGAAAGCCACTAACTGATGCTCATGTCAGAGATGTAAATACATATGTAGTAACTTGTTATTATGTTATTTCTTCCTCTTTCAATCCGTAGGTCTTCAGACTAACTGGACCTCATAATTTGGACTTTTTTCGTAAGTTATTACAAATTCAGTGTCCCCTTCTTTTTCATAATAGACTTAAGTAAAACATAGTAAGCATGTATTTCTTTGTGTTTCAGTTAACTCACAGTTATTGTATGTCACAACAAATAAGACATCATATGTGTTTAAATATTCCTTGGAGAAAAAAGTTTTGAATATGTGACCATCAGCGACTTTTTTTCTGATGATCAATTGTATTACTGTTCACTTCAAATAGGAATGTTAAAAAACATATTACATTTAGCAATCCTGTTAGAGTAAACAATCGATTTAATTTTGTTACTTGTTCGTGTTATATCTAGAATTGGTTAATTTACTTGATATAACGCGTACAACTGAACACACGAACGCCCAAACCCTCCCAAGTCGCAAAGAGAAGACAGAAGACTAGTGGAAGGAATGTTATTCCAAACAGTGTCAATTATGGGTACAAATTGTCAGGTATTTATAGTTTTAGTAAGAACAAAAATCATCATTATAGTCCTCCAATCCGCATACAGGGGGTTATTAGCCTTGTCCAACCGGGAAGCTACACGTAGGGATTCTAGAATATTCTTGCTAACGGTGATTGGATGGAATATCTTCGGCTCCTTCTGAGCCTCTTATAGCTTCCTTGAGTTTACCCGTGGTCCGTCATCACAGTTCGCAAATGGGTAACTTATAGTTTGCTTTTTAATTATTTGTCGTGAAATGTTTATTTCATGAATAATCCGTTAGACAAACTTTTCAGGATTGTAAGAGGTTTTACCAATTGCAAGGTTATATTATAACCTTATATAACGGACTTAATACAGTGGATAATGATGAAGGAATATTGGTTGCTTTGTGGCAATCATTTTTATCCTTGTTTATATATATATATATATATATATATATATAGTCAGTTGGACACTTTTTCATCCCTTAAAATCTGTTCTATTCATGATTTCAGGATTTGTCTCATGAACAAATTATCAATTGGGTCAGTCATCCTAGTATTTTATCAAGTCAATTTTTTCTCACTATCAAGACAATATTGTAGTGTTATGTACATCGTGTTTTTGTAAATATTCTAATTATGTATGTTAATATAGAAATTCGATTGTTCAGAAATTGATTTCTGTTGTAAATTGTATTTAATGTGCATGAACCTATTGTTTGTCAATTGTTTGTTTATAATATGATGAAATATCTAAATCGTAGAATCAGCTCATTAAGTCATTGAATTTTTTGATCTGATAGATATTAACAGATGCAGTCTATCTGACTAGCTTTCTTGTGATGACCATAATTAGTGGTTGGAGATGTTGAATGACATAGCCTAGTATCAGTCGGATTGGTTCAGATACATCCACTTTTTATCTTTTCTTAGACTTTCTATTTCATTATGCCTTCATAATTACGCTTTCGTTGTTTACTGATTGTAGCTGCTGCTTTAATCTTCTGATCCGGTTTGCGTATCGCAATGGCCTGGTCGGGCTATATTGGTTGAAATTTTCCTTCCCGTGGGTCCTACCATGTCAGATAGGCTGTTTGAAGAGCCGTAATACTAAAATCAGCAAATTCATGGTATGTGACGTCAGTAAAGTGTCTCCCTAAGGTAACTGGTATCTGCGGCAACGTGGAAGGAGAGGGTTCGGAATAGTCTACCTTAAAAATGTTACAGTTCACCTTATCCCACGGATTTCCGTCTCCTGGGGTAAGGCCTTAAAAGTATAGAGCTAACTCGTCTGAAACTATCATGGTAGCTGTCTTTTGGGATCTAAGGCCACTTTTTCTTGCGAATTGCGACGACCATCAATCAAATTCAGCCAGGTGGGGTTACGTTCAGTTCCTAAATTCTAGCATCCCAGTCAGTTTCTTAGCTAAAACTGGGCCACCATTCCTAAACATTTCTGGTAATAATCCATCAGAGCCTACTTCTCTTTTTCACTTTAGGTCACCCATAGCCTTATCAACATCATTAAGAGTTGGGGCACTTGCTTCAATTCCCCATCCAAGTTGATTGCGGGTAGACAGTAACTGACCTTAGCTGCTACCATGACGTAGTGGTCAGGCTTGCCTATCGTGATGATTCAACCGAGCTATATTGGCTGGAATATATGTTCCTCTAGGTTCTACCATGTCAGGCAGGTCGATTGGAGAACGGTAAGACTAAAAGCAACAAACCCAAGGTCCGAAGGCGAAGTCGTACTGCTGACTGTACACAGGTGTGACAGAAGCAAGGTGTTTCCCTCGGACAACCAGCATGACAGCGATGCTGCCTTCCCACAAGTAGGGATGGGGTTAGCAGAGGTCGACCCTAAAAATGTACACCTCACCTTACCCCACGGATATCCGTCTCCGACTGTAAGATCTCGCCAAGGACGGAGCTAATACGTTACCCCCCCCACACAAAAAGTCGTGTGTGACCAACCTCAAGCAGTTGTCCCTTGGGCTCTGCGGTCACTCTCCCAGGTCTTTAAGATCAACCCTAATCCAACTTCCTTTTCAGGTTCCTCAAGGAATACTCATCCATGGTGTGGGCAGCTGGGAAGTGACATCAACCCTCTTACTCGTAACAACGCACGAGACCAAGTTGATCATAATCAAATCCTTCTTACACATCCTAATAACTCTTATCTCGACAACTAACTCTTCTCACGTTCCTCTATCACCTCGCACAGCTAGGGCAAACGATTCGAGTACGCGGAACGTTATTCCCGGTCTCCTGAAACCACGCTCTAAACGACATGTAGGAGCTTTGAACGTTCGGACACTGTGCTAAATAGGACAACAGGCTTCCTTAGCTGGGACTTTAGAATCTCGCGCCATCCATGTGTGGTGCGTCTCCGAAACGCGCATACAGGATACGAGTAGCGTCATTCATTTGACCTCACCATATCAAAATAAAGGGTCATCGAGACTCACTCTTCGTGTATCTAGAAGCTCTAATGCTGCTTCCCGTGGTCTCGCTGGCGTAGGTATAGCGTTGAGTCCTAGGGCAGAACTAGCTCTCTTAGACTGGATTCCAGTAGATAGTCGCTTGTGCGCTGTCCGACTAAACGGAACAGTAAGGACTCGGTAAGTTAGGAACACTCGTCGTTGCCTTTTCGTCGTCCCTGGCTACTCTCCCACTGACTGCAGCCTAGATGAGATAAAAGATGAGTTTTATAGAAAGCTTTCTGAACTCCTTCAAAAAAACTAGGCGCTCTGATGCAGTAATAGTGGTTGGTGACTTTAACGCTCAAGTAGGTAAACTAAGTGAAGAGGAAAGACACCTGGGTGGATCTTATGGTGTCGCGGCTCAAAGAACAGATAATGGCGACCGTCCGTTGCAGCTATGGTCAGATAACCGCCTTTTTCTAGCAGATACTAACTTTAAGCATAAGGAAAAACATCTTTTGACATGGCGACCCCCTAATTCGTCCCAACGTTGGACCCAATTAGATCACATCGCTATCAACCACCGATGGAGGGGCTCAATAGGAGACTGTCACTCGTTCTGGAGCAGATGCTTGGACTCAGATCATGCTCTAGTGTGAGCGAGTATTTGTCTGCGTCTTACTGGACGTAAGAAAGACGTTGCAAGGAAACCTCTAAGGGTTATACTTAATGATAGCCAAGCTAAGAGTACATTTGAGGAACAACTAGAAAAACAGTTAGGCAGCCATCTAACGTATGCTCAACCCGAGGCAGCTTAGAATGATATCCGAAAAGCTGTGAAAACAGCAGTGATATCTACTGGTAAGGAAAACCATAAGGTTAGGGAGAAACACTGGATGCTCGAAGACTTATCCCATCTAGCTCTGAACATGACGAAGAACGGATTCAACTTCTGATTATGAATATAGTGGTCTTGAGTGCTGTTAGAGGTATGAGGGCGGTTATCACTTCCCGGTTGCCCACACAGAGGAAGAGTTCTTCTGGAGGTACCTGAAAAGGAAATTGGATTAGGGTTGGTCTTAGTGACTTGAGAGCGTGACCAAAGTGCTCAAGCGACAACTGCTTAAGGTCGGTCACACACGACCTTTTTGTGAGTAATTTTTGTGTTAGCTCCGTACTTGGTGAGACCTTACCGTTGGAGACGGATATCCGTTGGATAAGGTGAGGTGTGCATTTATAGGGTCGACCTCTGCTAACCCCAACCCTTACTTATGGGGAGGCAGCATCGCTGTCATGCTGGTTGTCTGAAGGAAACATCTTACTGCTGTCATACCTGTGTACAGTCAGCAGTACGACTTCGCCTTCAGACCTTGGATTTGTTGCTTTTAGTCTTACCGTTCTTCAACCGACCTGTGTGGCATGGTAGGACCTTGAGGAACGATTGTTGCAGCCAGTATAGCTCGATTGGTTTATCACGATAGGTAAGTCCGACCACCACGTCAAGGTAGCAACAACGGTCGGGGGAATCAACTTAAGCGCATGCTGATAAGAAGTCTGCGCAATGGTCGCGAACAGTGGTGGGAAGCGAAAGCAGGAGAGATGAAAAAGGCAATGGCAATAGGTAACAGCAGACAACTGTTCAGATTTGTCAAGCAAACCGGTATTAGGAATCCAACCGCTTGTCTCGATAGGCAATATTTACTGGTGGGATGGTACGTTAGAAGAAAGCTAGGAGTAACCAATCTAAACGTGGTATCAGTGTATGAAGTCACTGGCTATTGGCCTGAGTCATGTTGATCAATCTAAACCACCTGGTTGGAGTCATCGAGACAACTTTCATTAGTGACTGAAAACTATAGGTAACGTTACTCAGAATCTTTCACAATGGCATGGATACATTTACTCTCTTTATCTTCCTCTTGATATTTAGTCTCAGTGTCCCTTTAAATGTACGTTTCCGCTCTGTCTCTTGGATCCCTGTTTCTAATGCATGGGTGTTTCCATTGTCATTGCTGGTGTAGTGTTCCACTCATTTGAGGTTGGCGAAGCTTAACTCGGTAAAGCCCATGGGCTTATCTGTATCAGGTTCCGCTTCCCAACGTTCACGAACCCATCCCGTGGACCCTATTTCGTGTGGAAATCGTCGGAAATTCCCTGTTCTTGGCGTCTGGGCGTCCTACCAGCGGCAAGTATAGTCTACATGCACGCAGGTAACACAAATTTTCATGCATCCCATAGAATACATATAGGTGTATTCACCCACCTGGTAGGGTAGATAATAACCACTCTGTTTAAGCGTATTTGCCACAACTGACTATCTCTTACGCATTATATACATACTACTGGTACAAAAACTTTCGTCCATGCACTTCATGGCACACACATAAACGTAAGCACTCAGGGAGGCTTGATGGTCACCTCCCCTAAGTGTTTACTATCATACCTTTTTATTATGTCTTCGACCTGAAGGATTGGGTCGCTAATTTTATTAGATATAGGGTAGACATTTCAGATTGTTTCTTGTGTTAACCCACGCGCGTACCTTTGCATATGCCTACATTCATAAACTACACAAATCAAGACTCATGTGATTCATATACATAGGCGTACATATTGGGCAGCTCGTCACGATTTTTAAAGCCTCGAAGTGTGGAATCCGAGGGATCCAAATACAGCATCAGAGTAGTGGTTCTATCCAATCTCCGCCGATCTTTTAGATTAGCTACCCAGCAGCTCCACGTGAAGGGTTCGGCGCTGGTATGTTCTCTGACTCCCTTGCTACTATGTTCGTTAATTTCATCTCGTCGTGTTAATGTGGTATGGTAACGGTTTAACGGACATTTGTTGGAGACCACTCCAATGGACCACTTTGAAATGTTTTCTTATGCTGCTCACACATATTTTTATTGTTTACTTGTTCAAAACAACGGCGGCTCGGTTGGAACCAGAGCTGCCGAAATATCCCTGTAGATGCTCTTGATTAATAAATTAACAGATCGATATTTATTTTTTAAGCAATTTGATCGTATATGTCCTTAAATCATTGCGTGTCGCCTAATGCATCTGCAGAACTTTCATCGACCAAGGTGGTTGACATGTGTGCTACTCAGATATAGTTACCACTTACCTCATTTGCGTAATGTTTTGCTGTTGCCATAATATTCTGACAGTAAAAAATCTGCAGTGGTCAAACTGAGACGTAGCAACAGTCCCTAAAGTCAATAATTATCAGTCTTCTACCGTGTGATTTAGCTCAACTTCCCTGATTGAAGCTCGTACTGTAATCATCCGTGGATGGAAACGTTACTTTTTATCATGTTACCCTAGTGGTTAAGACATCTGACTTTCAGTCACTAATTTTCAGTCATGAACCCCACTCAACCCACTTAAGTTTGAATCACCGAATATTATACCTGGCTTTCACACCTAAAGTGTGACTCAGAGTTAAATGCACGAATCTGTACACGATAATAAATTAGTAAGGATAGGCATATTCGCAAAATAATGTTATGGAAAAGATGCCCCCAAATGCCCTGGTACGGCCGAGAGTGGGGAGAGTCCTCTCTCCCTCTCCAAATGCTCTCACATGGCCACGTGTATATAGCCTCTGACAGGGAAGTCCTACTCACTGCCTTCTCATGGCATTACTGTTGTTTACGAAAATGAGAGGACGAAAAGTGAATGTCTGGCGCTTTAACCGGATCCCAAACCAATGGTGCACATGGGCTAGCTCCA